ATATATATATATATATATATATATATATATATAAATTTAAACTGTGTCTGAAGTTTGCTTAGAAAAATGCATTATTTAGTTCATCTGATGATGATTAGCATGTGTGACTCATAGTCTGATTTTTAGATATTTCGCACGAAATAGCAGTGGTCACAGTTCTGGATAAAACTGGCTCAGAATATTTATATGAATCTGCGATAAAAACAATCCGTTGTTATTGCGCTTATCACAACTATACTTACAGAATTCTGCATGCCAATAGTAATCATTATTGGAATAAGATATGTGTACAAAACAGTGTAGGCTTTTTCTGTGGCTTGTTGTTTCCAATAACTTTTATCTTCTGACTATTTCACTTATATCAATATAAAATATTAAACTACAAATGCTTGTTGCCTAATATTGTATTTCGAGCAAATACATTAACTTGATCTACGAATATCCACTTTTTGAGATTCGGATTTGACTTATTTTTCAGTTCCTTTTTAAACGACATTGTATCGCTGCGTTTTACATCATACAGAGTCCTCAAATATATCATTTATTCATTGATGGTGATATTGCTGTAATCAACCCAAAGCATCGTATTGAAGAATTTTTAATTACTGACAAGGACATCATTTTTTATAATCGACTTTGGGGATTTGAGATCATGGCTGGTAGTTTTATTGCCAGGTTATTTTATCTTAACGATTTACTTTGTTCGAAACTTGGAAGTAATTCATGGTCCTAATTAAATTCAAACAGAACTGCGCTTACAACTTGCGACAAATGCAATACTTGCTTGTTCTAATAGTCCTTATCTTTTATCATTACTATGAAGCAATATTATCTCAAAAACTGTTTGTTTACTACAATAATTATGTTTTTGCATGATTAATTATGCAATATATAAATGCATATTGGCTTACAAAACATCTACTTACTTTTGTGTAGTCAAAAAATAAAAATTTTGCAATTTTATTAGTTAATTTGCATCCAATAAACATATCATGAAAAGCAATCTGATACTGACATATGATCTAACTTAGTAGCAAAGCTGCTTATAAATGTCCGAGTAAAATATTTTCTTTCAGGAAATCAGAATTTGCTTTCAAATTTTTGCTTAACTGGGCAAATTACGATTGGATGATATACCACAGCAGTATCCATCATGATGCAGCAGTCGGCTTCAAACTAGCAACAGATAACATAATACTACATGTATCTTTCAAACTTAAATTTTTGCGAAAAAACTATCGCTATTTGTTTTGTTAATAAGGTACACGTGTAGGTGCAAGGTGAGAAAAAATGTTTACAGACATGTAATAATTTCAGTGTTTTACAGAATGCGGTGCTTGATTTCGCCCCAATAAATAAAAAAATTTGCGAAGATATATTACGTCATTCTAAGTAAGAGCTATTTTTAGAGATTGAAAGTTACCAGTAAAATGTATTGATAGAAATTTACCAGTTATTGTTTAATAATAAGTAACGACTTTAAGTGATTAAGCGCGTTTGACAATTTTTCTTGCTATTACACTTTCGAAGGTTGCATGTGTAAAACTTTTGTTTATTTTTGTACTTTTGTTGGAAATTTATAGTAATGCTATCATGAATTTGACACAGTAATTACTGATTAGATGATAATTGGTTACAATCAGTGCTTTAAAAAAATGCTTTTGTTTGAGTAGTTAAGTAAGAAGTTATCTTGTAAATTAACACGACAGTTAAAAGTTCTTTCTCAATTAACTTAAAAATTAATTTTTCACATTTTTTTGCAAATATTGTTTTAACCTTTAGGTTCTAAAATTAAAATGAAGTGTTTGATGAAATTTTGTTTTTTTAGTAGTCTAACACATGTTTTTATCTATGTGGCATGCATGAGAGATCTCATGAAAAAATATGCAACCTGGTCTAAGCATATAAAAATATTGCCAAAAGGTAAATCGTGGTCGCGTGACGGTTGGTTAACATATTCCAAATGGTCAGACAAAGATTTCATGCTTCACGGATGGCATGAAGAATACAGGCCACTGCAACCACTTGCTCAGTTATACTTTTTCACAAAATGCTTACAGTGTGGAAATAGATATATAAACGAAAAATAATTTGATCCAAAATTAGAATCCATGTGGATTTTTTCATGGCTTCCACAAGCATCCAATACAAATATATCTAAAACTGTTAATTTTGGATCTCATTAGGAAAGTTTATTATTCGTCACTTCCACATGGATTCTCTTTTTTTTAAATTGAAATTTGAGCGCCTGAAGCAAGTTTAGTAAATCCAGATAGATGCTCATGATCTAAAGAATCTTAATCAGGATCGAATTCATCCATGAATTATAAAAAGATTTTGCTAAATTACTCATCGTTAATAATCTGTTGTAAAAAGATAGTGAGTATAGCTCAAAAATTACATCTATTCAATGAATTACGGCCTTTTTTCTTACAACTTTAAATGTATAATTTACAGGAAAAACGGCAGTCTTCACTATGGTATTTGGTTGTATCCATTTCTTTCCGAAATGGACTTTAGCCAGCATAAATGTGAAAGTTCAAATGAGTGGTTGTATGTTAAAGAAATGAAGCATAGTAATTTGGAAGTTGATTTTGCTTTCAAGCAAATAATTGAGCATGTGAAACAACAACATCTTATTGCAATGGAAAATGCAAAATTTTTTTGGAAAAATGGTGATTTTCCAAAAGGTCCTACATTCAAATTATTATTTGCTGGATTGGAAAGATATCCGGATTTCATCGCAGACTTGGATGTTAATAAGTTGAAACCTATTGTTATATAAATCTCATATCTAAAAAACTAAACAGTCTCTTCTTGTGTTGTTTTTTTGATCAAAATATATTTTGTAAACTTGCCAAATTTCGAGAATTGCTGAAACAAATTCTCTTTTTCTTATTTTAAATTCTAAATAACATGAGTATTGAATAGCAAATTTCAGTTCTCTAAGCAGTAACTTTATTTCAACAGTGACTCAGGAATTAATATTAAATTTGCACTTCAGCATAATAATTTTTAAAGAAATTATTTATTCAAATATTTTACGTCCCATTTAATCCAAATTTTTGCAATTTTTTCTTTCAAGCACAACCAATTTAGCAGTAAAAAAATTGTAATACAATTATTATATTATGTTAGATCTCTGTACTTCAAATTTTTTTAAAATAGAAAACATTTTGAGCTACTATGATATAAATTTAATAGACGGTTTTTACAATTTTTTCCCACTGCAATATCTATTCTTCCTGACTTATCAAAATATTACGAGAGTTTGATACTTACAATTATTAATTTTTCTGCAAAGAAATAAAGTAGGCGAAATAAATCTTGACCACTTTTATAACTTATCAGTAAACTTTAGTAATAGTTGTGAATTGAAATAGTCAGCTTTTCTTCTTAATTGTTGAACATTTGTTGATATTGCTTAAAATAGTTAACGTTTACAGTGTATTAATGAAAAATAAGCAATATCGCTAATATGAAACATGTGCAATTTCTGGCCGTATTTATTCACTTCTATCCATGTCTCAAAACTATTTCTAACAACCGAAAAGACTGTTAGCACTATTCTTGTACTTACGGATTCAGTTTTCTCCATATATGACATACATTTGGTAGATATTACATTAGTTCCTTGCGAATCCATTTCTCTTTTGAAAAGTGATGCTTATGAAATCTTTTTCAAGGTAAATTCAAAATAGTTTACTTATCTTTTGGCATTTAATAAGCATTTATAAGTGATAATTGCGCTGAAGTAATATTTACAATAACGAAACATTTTTTTCTCAAATGAAATTCCACTGTAAAAATGAATGGTAATAAACGAATATATGTTTAAAAAAATATATTTCACTTCAAAATCATACTTCACGATAACTTCAATTGGCAAAATTACTTCTCTCATGCAAGAAGATAATCACTATGATTAGAAAAAAATCGCTCATAATTCTTCCGACAACGCAATTTTAGTTCATATTCCGTGAAGTTCTTTTGGTCTAAAAATTTTAGGTGCTTAAAATGCTCATGGCTTTGGTCGTTGGGATATTCAAATGACGTTTTAATAAACAAGGCAATAGATTTTTTCTTTGAACTATCAATGATTTACTGGAATAATTAATAATATATATACTTCGTAAAGAAAAGTCTTGATACAATAACAAAGTAGCTTTTTAATAAGTATAGAAATGATACGACAAATTGATGACTGAAAAAAATGTTATCTTAAATTGTTAGCTATTTACCTCACGACTGGAATAAAAAGACTTTTTTTCCATTTTTAAAAGAATGTTTTCATAGTTACAGTGAAGCGTGATATAAAATATAGGTTACTGGAATATAATGTAACTGAATCACATAGTACGAAAATATACTGTCTAATTTTTTCACACCATGGAAATGACATTCACACCTATCAAAAACCATTGCTTTTATTTAAATGTATGAAAACAGTCAAGTATAAATAAGGCAAAATAATATGGAACACCAAAAATCTGTTCTGAAAACAGTTACGATTAAAAAGTGATGTTACAGTTCACAACTTACAACCGTTCCATTCCTTTACACTATTTTGTATAGTCTTAAGCCTCTCGTGTTACAAAAGATGATTTGTCATATGAATCGATCTGTATGAACATACTCCTTGTATCGTTTTAGCGCTTTTATTACTTTATCACAGTTCAATGTCTTTTGAAGAATCTGAAATTTTCTCTATACTGGAAAAGCATACCTTGAGTTTTCTAAAACTTTAAGCGCAGATAAAAAAAACCCCACTTTACTTTTTGAGAACTTTTTCTCTGTCGCTGAATATTTTATGAGAATGAAAGTGTAAAAGTATGAGAGAAATAAGATTTTTGACTTCTAATCCAGTGCTGTATTTTTTGAACATTAAGATGGTTTATTGCACAGCATGGTGAGGTAAATGATGAAAATGAAAGGTAGAGTTAACCAGGAATAGGCTGAAACTTTTAGTTTGCCAATACTGTTCTAGAGAAAGAACCGTGATTCAAACATTTCATGACTTCTGCTTCAAGCTTTTTATTTCAAATTTCAGAAGTGAGGTTGGAATGCATTCCTTGCTCTGCCAAATAATTTGCTTACTCCAAAAAAGCAGCACAAAAGACCTACCATCTTATTATTAACAGAATGTATAATTAGAATGTAATTTTCTGTTCTTCAATTTTAAATTCGTTATAATTTTGATTAAAATAATTAGAAGTATTACAGGAAGCAAATACTTTTTGGATTAACCACTCATAATCAATAAATTTTCCAGAGAATTTCAATTAGCACGCAAGTAATATAAAAAATACCAAGCATAACACGCTTTGAGGTGGTAAATGATCAAAGCCAAATGGTACTGATTGATTCTGTAATCGCTGAGCTTTGTCCTTCGTATACCAGTAATAATTACGCTGTATTAGTGTCTTTTCCAATGATAATGCTGTAATTGGGAACTAGAGATATTATGTATTTGTTAATTTCAGTAAACTGTGGGATGTATGAACTTAAAAAATTTGAACGATTCCTAAATTCCACAATTGCAGTGTACAAAGAGTAGTGGATGATCGATTAGAGTAAATCACAGTAGCTGAAACATTTAACTTATTCATTACAATTTTTTGCTGTGCATGCCATTTCACAAGAAAACAAACTTACGTTCATTAATTGATACACAAGTAGTATCAGCAGTTATACTTAGTAGAAATAATATTATAAATAGAAGTACCATCAGCTGAATATCTGAAAATGAATTTATCTAAATAAGCTGAATGACTGATTGCTCGGAAAATTTACCTCATTTTCATATTACCGCACTGAGATTGGAGCACATCAACTTTTCTGTATAATCTATTCAAGATCAAAATTTCCGATAAAAAAATCTTGTTTGGTCGAGAAGCAATATTTCCCGAAACTTATAATAAACAATAAGTTCATAGTAGTAACGAGAAACTATGGAACTTTCAGTTGCACATTGCACATTTAGTCTTATGTATCAATTTTGGAATCCAAAGATTGAATAAGTATTCATTTAAAGATACGGAACTGATTAATCCATTAATATGCTGCCGATTATGGATAAAAACATGCACTGCTGTTTCTTTAACTGGTCTCAATCTTCATGAAAATAAACTTCTGTATCTCAAAGAGTTTTTGGTGATTTATATTTTTGTCGCCAACTACTCATTACAACTAGTGATTATAACCTATTCTCACTCTGAGCTGTCCCATATTTTAACACATTTCTCACAAAGCTAAGTGGAACAAACACCTATGTTCATATCTGCTGCAAAGTGACAAGACGCTGTCTGCACAGAATCAGTGAAGATGACTCAACACGGCAATGATATAAAATATTAACTTGAAGAATGAATCGAATTTTGAATTAACAATAAATCTATAGCGCTGCTTATCCAAAAAATCAAAAACTCAAAATAAAGAACAGAGGGACTGAATTCTTAGTATATCTTCATGAGTAATTTATCTAGTTCCCTTCAACAAAAGAGAAAAACCAAGAGCCGAAAAATCTTTCTTGTAATCTTTAACACGACAGTATTATTTATTTAAGATATTGTGAATAATAATGAAAAACAGCTGATGCCAATACTTGTTCATTTCCTAAGATGAATTTAAAAGGATATGAAACGAACTGTCTCAGACGACCATCATGCCACTAACTAATTATTAATTGCTAAGCTGATTACTGAAGTCAACATTTAAGTGCAATTCAAATACAATAAACAGTTATAATCCGTGACCTAACTGACATATCTAGCAGTAACTGATAAGTAAACATAATTGAAGCATTAGAAAATTGTTGATGTAAACTAGCACTACAAAAAATCAAGAAATGATTTTAGAAATCACAAGAAAAAAAATTAGTGAATAACAGTAATGTTACGTGAAGAATAAACTGTGTATTTTCCAAAAATTCAAAAAAGTTCAAGTACTGCGAGCAGCACAAAAGCAAAAGTAGAACACGAAAGTTTTAAGCAGCATTCCAATTTTCATCTGGTGAAGAGCGTGTAAGGAACTTTTGTTGAAAATATATAATTTATCTTAACACTCATCCATCAACGATCATATTAACTTCAACTTGCTACACAAATCAGAAATAAGTTGAAATTTCTCCAGCTACAGCGACTATTTTCTCGCTGCTACAAAAAAAAATCTGTTTAAATTGTTCAAGTTATATTAACAAAAAATTTTGCAGTATGATGGGAAAAGTAGAAGCAATGAATATATTGATCTCCTAGCTTTCTAATAAAAATTTATCCATAACTTAAGTTGGAGAAAAGAAGGAGCACATTTACCAGGGAGCAATTTTCATCCATTAGAAACCCATGATTTCTTGCTGCAGCAATGAACAAAAACCTCATCAAGACTACTCTTTTATCATGCAGTCAAATATTTAGATAATATAGACTATCAATACTGTGAATAACTTCTAACTCCACACAACTAATAAACCACGTATTCCATAAGCATTAAAAACGATGGATTATACGAGATGCTCGGACTTTTAGTGTCTAAGACAAGTGCAATAAGATGCAAATCATAACCGAAACAAAAGTTGCTCCAGTTTAAAAGAAAAATACTTCCCGCCTTTACTACCATTGCTGTCGCAATAATTTCAGGAACCTTGTTCACTGTTTTTTAAGATATTTTTGCGTGACATAGGATGTAAATTTATTTTTATTTCCAGAATCTCAACACAAACACAGCACCAAGCTGCGCAAATCTTTCAAATGACTACTAACTTCATCACTCTGAATCACATTAACGACCCAGTATAACATAAGTAGACCAAATATAACAAAACAAGTAACGATCAGCATGCTTCAAGTACACAAAAATTATAATTCATCAAAATCAGTGGAGCAACTTTCAGTTGTTGACACTGAATTCAAATCATTAACCGAAACGAACAAGAAAAGCTTTCACATATCTTTTTTTCTATGATAAAATGTGACAAGATAATAAATATACGAAATGCATCATCTCGTAATACATGAAATGTTTCATTTTTTTTTGTAGTACATGGCAAATATACATCCCCAAACAAAGAAAAGATATATGAAAAAATGGTAATTATTATAAAAATACTTGAGCAATACTTACAAGTGACTTCCAACCAAATTTTATTAGAAAATACACGAAATAAGTTTTCAATTTATGCTGAGAAAAAATTTGTGACACCATTTAGAAATAACGCAAAATCTTTGTTTTGACTTTAATAATCCAACCATTTTATAGTCAACTGATTTCTACAGATATAAACTAAAGACAAAAAACCATCGTACGGCTAGATTAAAATGTTGCGTAGTGCTTATCTTTACGAGGGAAGATATCCCTTATAGAGTGTAAACGAATTAAGAAGGAAATTAATCTACACATATATTTGAGATTTCTTCTTTTTCTGGATACTGCACACTTAAAGCAGGATATTTCCCCTTGATGCAGTTATTTTTCAAACTATATATATATTCCTTTCTTTCGATTTTGTACCCCCGGCAATATTCGAAATCTGAACAATAAGAAACAGTAACAGTCAGTAGTACACCACAAGAACTCCAGAAATGTGAATTAAATGAGAGAGGAAATCGTTTTTTTATTAAAAAAAACTATTAGAAAAATCATTTATAAAAAATTACAAAAAGATACATGAGCCTTACGTTGAATAGCACAATTAACATCCCAATTGTCTACCTCAACCAGGTATCGACAAATCATGAAACCAGTCCGATTCAAACCATGAGTACAGTGCACTCCTATCAGTTCCCCTACATCAAATTGAAATTAAATTTATTGATAAATGCGTGAACAACTACATATAAGTCAAGTAAAAAATGTTATTGACCGTATCCAAATCAGCAAGAAATTAATTCGCAAAGATTCTTCACAGTATTGCACAGCCTTAATGGCAAAATACCTACTTATTGGACTAACCTGTATAAATATGCTGGGATAAAAAGCTACTGACGATACTATAAAACTTTTTAACACTTTCCTCACTAATATTTGTGCCACGTCCAATACACCGTATTTTTTCATAATTTACTCCTGCATCTATCCATTCACTGGGATTATAATACCGATCACTGTTAGTTAAATCGATAACGAGACCAATTTTTTTGCCACGAGTATTAGCCTTAAAATGAGAAAACAGATAATCACTATAATTTTAATGTCGGAAAAATTGTGCAAATCATTTTATAACATAAATAACTTCAGCAACAAAAATCAAAACCATATCAGTGGCAAGAAAACTTGATTTTAGCACTGTGTTATTCGAGATCCCATAGTAGATGTGCTGGAGTAATATTAAAAAAAAAAAAAAAAAAAAAAAAAAAAAAAAAAAAA